TTTGCAAGATATTGCGCCGGTTCAGTGAGGAGCAGTCCTCCTGTTGTTGAATGATTTGATGCAGAGGCGATGAAGAAGCCAGATAAAGACGTATCCAGCAGGCATGCCCACACTGCTCTGCCTCGCTCTTTCTTCCTCCCTTTACTCCTGAACTTTCTCCATCTCAATCTCTACCCTGAGATAACGCACAAAGATGCAAAATCAAATACCAGAATTACTGCCAGTACTGGCAACATTCTTTGCTGTCTATCCATGATCTCTTGTTTCCAGACTGAGGACAATTGGTCCCATGAGGGTCTCTTGAAGCACCGGCTTGTGGTTATAGGTGCTGGCCTTTACGTAAGTATGGGTGGCGTGCAGCATGGCATCATAAGAGGAGTCACGCAAGGCTAATGCATGCTGGTCTCTGCTGATTCCGTCCTTATAACATCCTTGTAACTCCCTGATGTTTAGGTCTAAACATTTAATTCATCTAGGAACAATTACCTTCACATATGGCCTCTCAACAAGGTTCTGTCATGACAGTGTGCTTTAGATTTAGATCAACAAATGCATGCAGCACCACGCAGGTATCTCTTCAGCCTGTCCTGTTGTGATGTCATAAAGGTTGTTGTCTCAGGTTTATAGGCAGTCACCACTCACAAAGGCTAAATGTGTTAATGTGGGAAAAACCTGTGATGTGGGTGGTGGGATTCGCTGCAGCTTCTATTCATACCTTTGGTCAATTAAAATGGTCGGAAATGATATACAGAAGAGACAGTTTAATTCAAACATCCGAAGAAAACTAAAATAAAAATATATAATTAAGTTGAAGGACAAAATTACATCTTGAAAAGAACTAAAAGTTGGCAAAAAAAGATATAACTTATAGTGGGCAGAAATAAACTTAGCCAGAAACATAAAGTTAATATTGGCAAATATAGGCCAAAAACATTGAAATTAGGCAGATAAAGTGACATCAATGTCTTTTTTTTTCTGTTTTTACAACCCAGAAAATGCTACTGTAAATTAACTTGGTTCATATTAACAGCTATAAGACTCTGATAACATAACCAATTTTTTAAAAAGTTAGCAAACAACAACCTCAAATCTGCAGTTCGGCTACCTCAAGTCTATCTGAAAAACAGAACCAAACTTGGACATTTATAGCGTAAAACTACAAAAGTTGGAACAAGGGGGAAGTTTATGGCCAGGTCACATCGCTGTTTGTTTCAATTACACTCAAATAGGTTAGACATTAGGAGAAGTGACTTATGGGAATTTACCACTGCTATAGAAACCTAAAAATGACTTCACTGATGGTGACACAGTTGCTACTGCTGGGTTTTACTTTTTGACCTCAGTGGCGTCATAGTGAAAAAATCTTTACTTCTTTACCGGCATCAACGTCCCTCCTCTTGATAGTAATGTCATTTCCAGCAGTTGAAGGGAGTCTCCACTGTATCAGCACTCTGATTCATACCCCGTCGGTGAGAATGCACCGATGACTCTGTTTTGTGGTCATTTCTTCGTCTGTGCTGTGTTTACTGCTTCTTTGAACCAGTTTAATAAGTTATAGGCAACAACTTTTCTAGCCATTGTATAAAAACACAAATCAGCAGCTCTGCTCACATCAAAACACTTCCCAGGGGATGAGGTCACAGCCTTTTGTTTTTGTGGCAGAACTGTGATGGAGCCGAGTCGGTTCAGTCCTTATCTTCTGACAATCCTACTGTCACCTCATTGACCTCTCAACTCTGACCCCTGACAAAATAGCAGGATCAGTGTGCATATACAGCAGCTACTAGTGTTACAAACAAGCCAAAAACACTTCTGTGGCTGCGCTTTATCATAACTTTATCTCTAAACTGCCTTCATCTCTGCCAACTGTATCTACACCTCGAGCCTTTTGGACAGTGCACGTCTCATTACTGTCTTGTAAACCTTCCCTTTGACTCTTGCTTCTATTCTTCTGTCACACATCATCCTTGACATCATGTTGGCAAAGGGAACATCTGAAATCATATATCAAATGTGTAATTTACAGGATGATGAAGTGGAAGAATTGGTATCAGGAGACATGTGTTAAACACTCCACTTGTTTGGAAAGAAACTAACGTGTCACAAATACTGATGTTATACAGCATGAAGAAGCCTAAGCAAAACCAGATTGTCCTTCGTTATAGAAAACCACTGGAATCCAGTGAGTAATGACAACGACTTGGGTGTCACAGCTAACTTTACTGTCAACGACTGCAGCCTTTTACATCAACCATAAGGAAAACCATATGGATAAACACACAGCAGACATGGTCTTAATGGTCTTAATTGCTCATTACATTCAGAGCTGAGTTTTCATGAACTGTGAGTCACAGGAGAGTTGATTTAACGTGAGCGTGCTGTTTGACAATTTGAAGAATTCTTCAATTAAGCCGTGGTACCGTTTTGGTGTTAATACAAGTTTGATTGTGATTTACTTTACGCATTAAAATAATTATTTAGGTTCTTGAAAGCCCTCTTCAGTCATTTAACGTCCACCCACTAATGCTTTTCCAGGTGATGAGGGGGAGGAAGGTCCAATCCCAGCAGTCTTTGCAGAAGCGCAGGCTTCAGCCTGCTCACCTCGCTAGGCCAGTACAGTACCATTTATCTTTAAATCCCTCACTGGATCAAACCAGAGATGTTTATCACTATATTTAACAGCAGTTCATAGTAAAACGCCAAAATACATTTGATCTATGATGTGAATAATGATGATGAAGAAAGTCTGTGTAGAAAACAGGGAAGAAGAAGCACCAGCAACGTCAGTGATGCTTCCAATGACGTAATCAAAGAGGAATAGAAAGAGATGCCAGGTTTCTGTACTGTATACTGCAAATCAGTTGAATTCACAGAAAGTAACAGTGAGAAAAGTTTAGGGTGCAAACTTAAAAAGAAAATTAGTCTAAATCTAAGTTCTGTCATTTTTTCTGTCCTTTTCTTCTTTTTTGTTAACTAATCCAACATTTTATCTGTTCCTTTTCTTCTCAGATTCTGCTCTTATTTTCTGGCTCTATAGTGGTTCTATCGGAACAGATAGATAACAGATCTGTCACTCTTCCTCTTTGTGCCGTCTTTTGTTCCACTTGCTCTTAAACTGAGAGCGGAGAGGAAAGAACAGTGTCAGATGAGGGTCTTTTTTGTCTTGGAGGGATTTCTATCTCCATTCAGTCTCTCTTTTGTTCCAACAAGATTTGGCTGCAATCCAGCGACTACACCCATCATGGCCTTGTGGACACTGTCCAAGTAGATGTCCTTGTTACAGACATTCTTGTCCTGAACTTTTTTCCTTCAGATATCAAATCTGTCACAGGGGGATTCTTTGATAAGATCACAGACAGTTACAAAATAGTAAGATGAAGGTTACTACATTATGATACTGACAGATTACAACATCTGTTACATTTTTTCCTCCTGTTCACAGCCTACATTTGACTAACTTTGATTCAATTTTCATTCATCCAAAACAGGAGGGAGGGACTATTCTTTATAATAAGCAACGATGATCCACTTCTACAACATGAAAAACAGAGTCAATGGGGGCTTTCTTAGAAAGAACGTCCTTAGCCCCTCAGCTAAAAGACACTCCTCTCAAAAGAGCAGAGGGAGGGAGGGAGAGGAGACACTGTTCACAGCTGAAAGACTATTTGTTTGGCTCCTTCAACTGGTTGATGAACATCCTATCAGAAACAAGTGTATTAATGGTCAACTGAGCACCACAGGAGTGAGACTACAGTGACTCAGTACACTTGTGTGTTTGTGTGTGACCGTCTGTGTTTTGGTTTAAGGGGAACTTCTACACATGTTTAAAATTAGCACCTGCGGGGGTCACAGTGTACCGCCACTGTTGCTACAAGATGTATGAACAGGATGAAGGCAAACATTGCACAGCACTTCTGAGAGTTACCCTTAGAAACACTTAATGCTCAAATCATCAAAGGCTGTGCTTGGGTTGGACAGTCTGACTGTGATGCTGTGTGTGAGGGATGAGAGGAGGAAATACAGGGCGGTGGAGGTGAAGGGGTTGGCTGAGGACTACGGATGGACCAGGAGACTCTGTAGATGTTGAGAAATTAAAACTTGACACTGATCAAACATGGGTTTATGACAGTTGATCAGCTATTCTGGTACCTTCACAGCGTAGTTACTGACACAGACAACTATGTTATGGCTTTTAAATGACAGTGATCAGTGATGACTAGCAAAGGTTCTGTGAAGAAACATAAATGAAGGTCTTGAGAAATGTCTATGACACCTGCAAACATCGAGTTTAACAATGGCTTCCATTTAACTCCCACTAAACTTCAGTTCTACTATGGAATCTTATTTTGCCTGCTGATTGCACATAATTCAACAGGACTTTCAAATGGTGTTTATAGCACCTCCTATGAGGAAGGAAGACAAGGTACATGTGACAAATGGGCACATTTGCCATCCGGTCTAAAAAGAGAAATCTTAAAAATTATATTATGAATACTTCTCCCAGCTCCGTCCCTCAGACTATAATATCTTATTGAATAGAAACCTCTGACACAGCTTCACTCCTGGGAGGTATGGGAGAAAATATGTTTCTTTGTAGTACGGGTGAACTGACCTTTTCACCTTATAAACAGCTTGAGACATTTTCCTGTGAAGCCCCAAACCAACAGTTTCCTCTTCTGTGATTAAGACCTGAGTGGCGGACTGAGGAAAGACAAGCTTTGTGTTTTTTAACAGAGGTTAGGAGGGAAGTTCAGAGGTCGATGAAGTCAACCACTGTGTCAGATTGTGTCACCCCAAGTCTGCTCTTTGAGGTTGGTTAAGACAGAGCACCTGTTGAAGGTGATGCGCAGACATGTAATGACTTTTTCTTTCTTTTTTTTTTTAAAGCTTCATTATTTTTATCCTAAATCAATTTTTACGTCTTCCTTTAAGGCCTTGAAAATATGTTTTCAGACTGTAGCCAAATGACCACCCAGTGGAATGGTAGTTAATATTCTTACCTTACAACAAGATCATCACGGTTCAAGCCCTGGCAGGTGCTCATGGAGTTTACTTGCTCTTCTTGTTCCAGTTTGTGGGAACCCGTTGTACCCCTCCTCGTCTGATGACTGCTGGGATTGGCTCCTGCTCCCTCTCAACCTTTAAAAGAAGTGGAGGAGTATGAAAGAATGGATGACACACTCCCACACACAGTATCTCTTGTGAGCAGGCAAACTCCTCAAAATGTCATTACAAGTATTATGCAGCATTTAACAGAATGTTGCATAATGCAGCTGTATTGCAATGTACTTCACCAGGAACTGACAAAAACAAAAGGACCCTAACCCATTTAACATGCACTGTGGTGTCTAATAAGGAATCAGTGTATGTTGCACAACAACACATATGGAGACAAAATGAGAGTTATGGTGCTTCTAATTATATATATATATACAGTATATCAGTCTAGTACCAATAGATTACCTAGTTGTCGGGCACCAGGAACTATTGAGGCTGTGTCATTTCCCCAGTGACTATATTGGTAGGTATATTAACTTAAAACAGCACAAATTTGTATCCTGTAAACAGAGTCTATAAGAGGAAGATAACCATTTCTTTTGCTGAAAAGTTACTATCAAATTTCTGATTAATAACACCAAAAATATCCTGACTGCTGAGGTTAAAAAAAGCTTCAGTGCAGGCCAGACTGGACTTTTTCCTGGATTATACAGCCAGTGGTGAGAGTCCATGGCTTTTGGGTTTATCCAAGGCAGCAGTTAAAGTACAGGACCACAGGCGTAAAGCTGTCAGCATGTGGACACGGTCATAGAACACAGCATGGCCTGTCCCCACACCAACTTTATAGGAATGTTTAACAACCCACTGCCACCTAAACATATACTCTATCTGTCCTGTGTATTATATTCTCCTCCTGCCAAACTCTTTAATAGGCAGGCTGCTATTTCCTCACACATTCCAGCAGATAAATCTCCACTTAGGATCTGCGGAGAACAAAGCTGCTAAGACTTGTCGGGAAATCTCCCTCTTTCATCTTGACGCTTGCCCACCTATGTGTGGCATTTGAAGACGTTTCTTCTAATATCACATTACACAGTAAAAAATGTGGAGGTTGTTGATATAAAGCACTTAAGTTGTTGTTGTATGACGAGGGTTTTTTTGTATAGAGACAAAGTGTAAAGTACATGTGTAACAGCATCTCCTTGTGTATTCTTTTTTGTACTTCTTTGAAGTGAACAGGGTAGGACGGACCATCCTGTCACTGTGACACTGAGGAGTCTTTGATGTGTGAATAAAGAAGTGATGTACACCTTCATATAATCAGCCCCAACATTTGACAGCCTGTGTGCCATAACATGCCACTGATGTCAGGTAACCCTGGTTCTCTCAGTCAAGTTCAAAATAAATGTTTGCCCACATCAAGTTTGTCTTAATTACATTGTGTAGAGCCATGTAATAGCATTTTTGATCAATGATTTTGTCTGGCTCTATTAAAGCTCAGCAGGAGTCAACGTTGCTACTATAATCGTACTATATCGTACTATAATACAATCGTACTATAAAACGTTGCTACTATAATCGTAATCGTATAAACGTTCACCAAGGGCATCTTTTTAAACCTATTTATTAGGGCTGCCATACAAAATGTAAAAAAGTAACGCCTCAGCAACACCACCAGTGCAGTGATAGTGTGTGATAACATCAGTCAGGCTTTTTTTTTTTCTAATACTCGCCTCCTCCCAGGCTGTACCTCAACCCTTCTATCGTCATGGACATCAGCCAAAACCCAGTTCTGCAGCCACACCAGATTTTCACTTGCTTTGTTCTACTGCTACTCTTTCTGTCCTGTATTTATTTTCCAACTTGATACTCTCACTTTAAAGTGAAGTGACACACAAGCTGGGGTTTCCAGCACAGGTTTCCTGTGTTTGGAAGAGGGGGGGCAGTGATATAAAAACAGAAGAAGGGTTGAGAAGGTCACACGAAAAGAAGAGGGGAAAAAAAGGTTTGAAAGTGTGGAGGTTAATTGAGTGGCAAATATGTGGAAAAAGTTGTATGGGACTAAAGCTCTGAGAGAATGAAGATGACCATATTGGTAGCAATGCAATAGGTAAACAAAAAAACTACAAGTGTGTGAAAACAGGCCACAGTGTCCGAGCTGAGAGAGCTGAAATCTGACTCTGAAATAACAAGGCAGTCCAACCATGAACTGGAACTCTATCACCTTCTGCAAATACTCTGCAAACAAGACACTACCTGGTTTATCTGCTAAACATGGTCACAACAGAGACGTCGTCAGGCAACCACCGCAGCGGCAGCAGAGATCTCTGGGTGATGGACTCCAAGATTTTATCAACGTCAGATGAACGATTAGACACTTGACAGTGAGATTGTAGCCGCCTGAACTGCAGAAAGTGTCGAGGTGTCGCATCTCATTTAGGTCGGCGCACAAAAGATCTGTGTCTGCCCCAATGTGTGGGAGATTCAGAAAGTGGTGCTGTCCATAACAAACATCTTACAGACTAAGAGAAATATTCCCAACAATCATTTTGTAAACAACAAACATCTGTTCATCATTTCTGTGAATAAAAGTACCAAAAATCAATGGATGTGAATAAAACATGTTTTGTTTTTTTTTTTTAATTATCATTTCAGGTACACAACAGCTATAATTGTATATCTACTTTAATCCAATGTTAAAAATGGGTGATTCAACATGGCTTCCTCTATAAGAAAAGGGACTAATTCTGGGGTAATAAAACCAACTTTCAGAAATTACATTTCACTCCAACTAATAGAAACTTTATTCACTCCAGAGTTATATCAAGCATTGGGACGAACAAATACCTTTCCAGACCAACATCTGCAGAGTCGTCTGGTGAACTGATGTTGATGTCACTCCCAGCACCATGCTGATGAACACATGTAGTGGGAGTTTCATTCAAAGTGTTGATATTTAAGGGGCATTTTTGCGAATTTGCTCACTAATGGATTAGACACGCAGGTTGGCCGAAAACGAGGTCCAGTCTGTGCCAGAGTTGAGTTTTCTTCTGTTTATAACGTGTGGTTTTGTTAAATGTGCACAGCAGACCGGAGTCTATGAGACCAAAAGATGGAATCAAAGATGAGTTGATTAGGCTAAGGATATGGTAATGATCTGATCTGTCACAGGGTCATCTTAGGTGATGATCACAACAGAGCACTTGTCTGACCATGTGGATGTTTTTCTCATTCTCCATCCACAATCCCAGCTCTCTCTCCTTCTCTTTCCACCCACCTGCAGTTTACTTCTCCAAATTATGCAGACAACATTTCCTCGTAGGAACAAATTCATCTGTCACTCAGTCTGTCTCTAATTTAGTCCAAGCTCTGAAGCGAACTCTGCTACTGCTCCACTTTGAAGCCGATGGTTTCATCTCTGCACCTCCAGATGACAAAAAACAAAACAAAAAACAACAAAGTGTAGAGCAATGTGTGGCCATAATCTAAATAAATAGTTTCAGATATCAGGAATAAAAGCACTGATGTCATCATGGGAAACTGATGCCTCTGCCCCCTTTATTTATGTCTAGAAAAGAGGCCTTATAAGCTGTCTGGTTTTTTGTTGGTATGAAACTATTCCATTAGTCTTCAGATGTCAAAACACAGAGGAGGTATAACATTACCACCTTCAACATCCACAAGCACCAAAACCATACACACAAACCCTGCTCTCGTTTGAATTCCCATGCCCCCGCTCCCTCCTACACCCCCACTTTTTTATCACTTTAACACATTATGATCTTTTATGATATTTTCCTCCCGCGCTTGTTCTTTGCGTTCTGGCATTTTTTCTGTACTTCTTTTTCTCCACTCGTTCCCATGTGCCGTAATTATTGAGTAACGGGTACAGCCAAGAACTACTGTTCTGTAACACAAACCCACTGCTGGTTCAGATTGTACTTTCATCATGTTAATGGATCCACCAACCCGTTTCATATTGTGCAAAATATGTTCAACAAAAAACTTCCTGACAGACGTGCAATATCGGCACAGTGTTTTTTCCTCTTTATGTCTCTTTCTCTGTGGGTTGTGGAGGGACCAGTTGGTAGCTCTGTTGTCAGACGTTTGATTGCAACACTTGCAAGCATACTTGATTCCAAGCGTACTCTTAGCAGACACAGATCAATACAACCAATAAAGCATTTATGACCAACCTTAATTTTTTAGACCATTGTACAGTGGGGGAAGTACAGTAGGTGGACAAACATGTTTAAAAAACAGTTGACCTACTGACCTGCCCTAAACACTAAATAAGACACAGGAGGGAAACAGACAGACGGAGGAATGTCATTGCTGTGCAGAAACCGTCTTGTGTACTGATATGTTTCCAGGGTATTAGTCAACACTATTCAATTGCCAGTGCACAGATGGGCTTAAACAGTCAGATAAACACGCAGGGTTGAAGAGGACATCTCAATAAATAACACAGCAGAAACATCTGAGATGAAACATTAATCATGATTCATAGACTTAAGTTCACTTGGCAGTACAGTGCAGACATGTCGGTTAAAGAGTCTGCTATCAGACACAATCTGTCATTGCAAGTCGAGGGCTATGCCAATATGGCTAACATAAGAAATGTGGTCACAAAATCGGGAAAAAGTCACTTATTAGCATGACAAAATGTGACTTTTTGAGTAAAAAATGTTCCAACTTTGCCAGGCTTATCGTTTACATTAGCTTTGAGTGAATGTAGGTCACTCAAAAAGTAAAATTAATCAACTTTATATATATATATACATATATATGTATGAGTTTCAGTTATATGAGCACAAGTGTAGGTTGTGTATATAGTTTTCATTTCAGTCTTTCATTTCAGTCTACCAGTGGGAGATACATGAGATTAGGGCCAAATCTGATCTTTTGATCTGAAAAAAAAAGACAGCAGGAACAGAAGTCGGTGGGAGTGCGTGTGATGGAGTAGCAGCAAGCTGTGACACAGAGTCGAGCTGCAAGAAGAAGAAGAAAGACGAGAAGAGAGAGGTCGATGGTGTGATAACATCCGCACGAGTAACAGAAATGTCGAGTGCGTAACAACTCTGGCAAATCTGAGAGAAAGTGAGACGGGAGAGGGAAAATAAAAAAAGAGATGTTCTGACAAAATACATTTTAAAAAAAACGGACACATTTGACCATATCTGGACAGCAAGCAGAGTTCGAGTTCCTTTAGACATGTATTATGTTTAATACCGTACTCAGCTTAGTAGCTGTGTGTGTCAGCATGTTGGACATGCTCCTGTGTCCAAGTCTGGTCTCAGTAACACTTGTTTATAGCTGTGCAGATAAGATCAGCAAAACACACCTCTGGACTCACGCTACAGCTTTGAGCCACTTCTCCACTCGTGACTTCAGTTTTTCTCCCTCTCCCTCCCTCTCTCTGTCTCTCTTTCTCTCTGTGTGTGTCATCACATTTGTATAATAAGTTGCAGACATTACATAAGCCTGTTGCTCTACAGCAACAAGTTGTGGTCACTCAACATTAACAAAACAAACAATTTCTACCACATTAGCATCAAATCAAATAGACTAAGAGCTGCACACAAATCACAACCATTCATTAGTGAAACACCTGAAAAAAAAAGAAATACACAAAATGCATATTTCTACATGGATGCAACAGACATTTCCACCGCAGTATCGTTCAATATTAATGCCACAATCACCTACAGTAGAGCTGTTCACTGTATTCACTGTATTGACTGTATGTGAGATTACACAAATCATGTTTACTGTGAAAAATGATCTAATTTCACTTAATTGCTCTGAAAACCAACCAACAATTAATTGTTTAATGCTAACTATTTGCCTTCAAGAAACTCAGAGTTCTCGAAAAAGAACATTGTGTGTTTCTTTCTTCAACTCAAATGTGAGTATATCAGCATTGTGCTCAAATAAACAGGCCCAGGTTTTACACTGAGTACATGAATTGTGAGGTACTGTAGGGGCTGACATCAACCTGCTTTTATATTTTGTTTTTGTAAAAATGTTCCAGTGCCTATCAATCTGTGTAAACTCTTAAACTCCCCAAAGTCACGTGTTTTTCCATCTGCACTTAACCTTTGATCCAATTCCTTTTCTCACTCTGTCTCCACTCATTTTTGTCCTGCCAGGTATGACATCTTCTCTGTGAAAATACAACCTTTTTATCTGTCCGCAGGCTGTCTTCAGGCCGAGGATGACTCCGGGACTTACCCTTCATACTTTTATTATCTGAGCAATTTTCATAAGGCTGACGGTTGCTTCAGAGCTGGAGATGAAAGAGACCTGCAGAGACACACTAGGTGTGTGGGATCAGCATGAGACTTAACTGTGTGTTTTTCATTAGACTTGGATGAGATCCAAGTATGTCCTCTGTCATCGTTTTCTATTTTGCGTGTGTTTGATATGTTAGTCATGCCGTATTTCCATTGCATATCTCTGCATCTCATAACTTACTTTCATTGGTTCGTCTCTCTTTCCTCTCACTACATGTTGGCCACCTTTTCCTTTTTCCTAGTAATAATCAGTTGTGTATGTTTTACTGCTTTTCCTTTTCATACAAAGTGTTTTCCTCTCCTTTATTCATTCATCAACTTCACAGCAAATTATCTTTCCTAGTCTAATGTCAGAATTAGAGCTGAGTTCTTGGTGGGGCCATTTTTTCCATCATATGTCTTCTTCCTTTTATCAGAGTACTATCAACACTGTTTCCCTCTTGCTTCACTTCTATGCTTTTTTACGAGCTGTATATAGTTATCTGCTATGACTGGGCCAAAGGCCAGAGCAGAGAAGAGGAGAGTCCAGAGGCTGTAAAGTCTGTTATTCTTTCCCTCCTTTTCTTTGGCATGTGTGGATGATGGAGTGAGGTTTGAAGCCTGCACTGTTGTAATTTCAGCTTTTCTATCTGAGTTTACTGGTAGAAACAGGAAGACCAGCTTGGTATCGTGACACCTAACTTTTTTTTACTCTATTCACAGACTTAATCCATGCATGTCCAAACTTTGGCAATGGGCCCATTCAGGCTCTAGGGCCAGACTTTGTGGGCCACCCAAAATGCAGAGACAGGTTTAATGTGCCGCACTTCTTACAATCAGAGCCAGAGCTGAGCAAAATCTGGACACTGGATTGGAATGACAGCCAAAATTTGTATGAATTGACAACTGGTCTGTACCCAGGTCTCTCTTGGTGACAGTCTAATCCAACATTGCTACTGATATTTGCCAGAAAGGCTAACAGCTAGAGGTGCTTCAAAAACCACAAGGCTTGACATTTCCCATATTCTATTGACGTCTTTAAACTGTAATAGAAGTTTAAACTTCAGACTATAAAGGCAGCACAACATCACCGAACATTTCACGCAATAAAAGCCTCTACAACAACATATTTTATATTTCATTTGTCTTCTTAGAGATTACAGAAGGTAAAACGCTGCAATTTTGAAATAATTTTACTTAGGTCATTACGTCATTTTAAAGGGATAAATTTCAAAAAATAGTTTCCCCCAAGATTCCATTTTGCATCAGTGTTTAACAAACGGCTTGGTTTGTATAGCACTATTCACCCTTTCGTTTTCCTAAAATAAAGATACTTTTCGACATTCCCCTGAAGACAGAACTCTTAATATTAATTTATTTTATTTATATTATATTAACTTACTTATGTAGCGAGCTATTTCCACGGTGTAAAATTGCGTCACTTCATGCTGTTCTTGAATTGTCTTCGCCGGCGTTTAAAAACAACAAACAAACAGTGTAAGATAGACAGTGCTTACCTTACACTGAGTTCGGCAACGGTGTTTTCCTTAGAAAGTACAGAAGCTCCAACACATTCATTTTTTCCCAATGACCGCCACGAAATGGGTTCAGTGTGTAGAAATAAACACAATAACAGTGACAGTAGTAGCCACACATAAGTCAAAACGCTGGTCATTGCCAACAAAGAGTGGCAGTGAAATGTTGCCTTTACGTACTATCGGTATTCTGAAAAATACGCAACTTTAGTAATGCACTTGAACGGCCGCTGACCGCAACAATTAAACTCCGTGATAGTTTTGAAGCACCACTTTCCCAGCGTAGATAACCTTTAACCTTCCGAAATGACGCGTCATAATAAATTAAATGAATAATAATGTATCAAGCTACATGAGAGAGAAGAAATTTGTTTGTTTTTTTTATTTTAGCCTGAACATATTTCAGCGCCACATATTTGTTAATACTGCGTGATTGACTGGTTGTTCCATACTTTTATCATAATATGTGCAGTATGGGAGTGTTCTCAATGTATCCGTTTATCACATTATCCAATACAACAACACAACTTGGAGGTTACTGTCTACTTGTTTATATTTACAGTGAATCAAAACTATGATCAATAAACATTTAAACACATTAAAATGTGAACATTTATTGATTGTTATTTGTAATAGTTTTTATTATTATTATTATTATCATTGTTATTGTTCTTCTTATTATTATTACTTTCTACATTCCCATAGGGCAGCACTCTAGAATTCCTTTTAAATTAAGGCTATATGAAAATAACACACACGATCATCTTTGCCATCTGTGTGTTGTTTCTAATGCCATGTTGTTTGGAAATGTACTAACACAGGTGCATCTGTGCCTGAGATGCAGTGATGCAGGTATATGTTTTGTCTGAGAATCTGGGATTTTGCTGGATCACAGCAAAACAGAGCTTCAGACTGGCAGTAAAAAGAGAGGCCCGGCCACAGGTGTGAGCATTCTGAGCATGGAAGATGTGTGTGTGAGAGACAGGCAGGATGGGTAAGCTCTTGGATATTTGCCAGATCTGTCCGTTATCCCACCACCTGGGCCTGGGTTGCTCCAGTAAGAGCAGCAGAGTTTGCACATAAAATGAAAACTTGTACAAAGGGGCTGTGAGGAGACAAAACAACAACACAAAAAGAAAACATTAATTGCAAGTATGTCCTAGAAGAGGTCTTAATGGGATTGAATGAATAATTAAACCATGGCTCAAAGATATATTGACACTAACACTTTTTTTGAGGGTAACAATGGTGGCCATTTAAGCCGAGCAC